TAACTCTGGACCAAAAATAAAGAAAATCGATTTTTTCACTGTTGCCGCCGATTCTTGATTTGGCTCGATATTAGTGGACAGTCGCTCTTAACTTTTTTCATGATCCTGAAAAAGTGCTTGAGCCCTTGGATTGCACCAACAACATCTATAGTTTCATGCTGAAAATGGAGACTGAGCTCAGCTGCTGGTGTTAACACCTCTAAAAAATATTCCACATACAATGGAAACTTGGCATTCCTGTATTTATCATACATTCCCTTGAACTTTGCCCTGTCTGTGCTTTTGTATGTGGTATCTTCACTCATATGGCTGAGGTGAGTAATGAGAAGGCCATAGTTCTTACTTATCCAACTTAATGCTCGTATTTTATGTTCCAGCCACCTAGTACCCTGGGCTTTGAGTGGTGGAGATACTGACATTTCCAAAGCTTCTCCTAACCCTTTGAGCTGTCTCATCTTCTTTGGGCTGTTTTTGTATAAGTAGTACACTTTAACAATCATATCATTAATGTCAGAAAACACTGTTGTTGGCTTCAGAGCATCCGCTATGGCCAGCTCAAGTTTATGACTCACACAGTGAACTGGGACTAGCCAATCAATGCCCTCATTTTTCATAAGAGTGGCAAGTCCTCCCCTTAATCCAGAGTWGATTGATGCTCCATCAGCCCCAAGTCCCACAATGTGTTCCTTTAGTGAAGGTATACCATGATCTTTTAGTGCATTTCTTATTGTTTCAAGCAATCCTTCAGATGTAGCATGGTCAACCTTTTTAAGTGAAAAAAATCTGATCTTTGGTTTTCCTTGCACAGGATCCAGATATAGAATGTAAATCAGTTCTTTCTCTGTGTTACTTGAATCTGTGCTGCCATCAACCAAAATTGAAATGTAGTGGACTTTCTTTTGCAGCAACTACAAACAGGACATCAATGCATATTATTGGTTACTTTAAACTGAGTTGTCATAGTCAAAATCATTCATTTACAAGCCATATATTATTTACAAAAATATTAAATACTAAGAACTAAATAAAAAATAGATATAAATATATATAAACTTTGTAGTTATAAGCACAAAATCTAGAAATTTACTTGGCAAAGAAGTAGAACAGGAAAAAATAAATTGCCATATAGTTTTAACTGATGAATGTCTTGAAATTTGCCCTTAAAAGTGTTTTTTTTTTTTTTCTAAATATTTTCTTTACTATTTCATTAATTTCCTTTAATAAAGGAACATTAACATCTAATTAAGGATATCGACAAATAAACAATCAACTAAACAACAGAGAGGCATGCTTTAAAAGTATAACTAACCTGATTTAACTCTTCTTCATACACTTCTGCAATGGAGTCAATAAATTCTGCACATGCATGATCGTTCAGGTAGGTAACTCCCAAATCAACTCCATGTTTTTTCTCCAATTTAGCAATTTGAACATACTTTGTAAATGGAAGTTCTTCTTTTGCAACAACATATGCAATTTCTAACAACTTAGAAATTCTTTCCTTCTCTSTTTCGTTCAGCTTGTAAMTTGCTCTGCMGATTGTTGTTGCAGCATATGAAGGGAGCGGACCAGCTGTCATCCTAAACTCTTCCTCTTGCTCTAGTTTCCTAGCCAATTTGTGTGAGTCACTGTTGAGATGGGTTGTTACAGTGTCTTTCTTAGTATTAGATGTACCAGAGCACCATGCACTGTTGTAGTTCCGTTGCGCTTTTATTTTTGACTCGTATTTCAAACAGATCTTACATCGAACCTTTGTCACAAACGTACTTCCATTTCGAGTCTCAGATTCTAAAATCTCAAGCCAATCATTGTATCCCCACGAGAGAAGTGTAGACTTCTTTGTACTTCTTACGCATTTTTTTGTTACTCGACGCCATTTTGTTCTGAGAAATGTAGCTGCTATGTAGTTTTATTACAGGCTCAAACACAGGAGGCCCAAGTATTGAAAAAACACAAGACACACAAGTTATAATAGAATGCTTTAATAGTCTGATAACTCAAATTCACAGAACAAAAACAAACGTGTAACACACATACACAAAACATTTTAAATTTTCATGCACAAGATTCAGTGTTATTGATACTTAACAAACATTCAACTTTACTCAACAATTGCCTCCTACTGTTTCAGGGYATTTCACCATTTCATCAAAATATAAACGAGAATGTACTTTCTATATATTACTCAAGAACCATGCCTTGTTCATACATTTATTCATTGTCACTAAGTATCAAAGTATCGCCGCTAGCATCAGTCGCATTACTCTCCGTGTCAGATAAATCGAATTCTTCATTGGCATGAAACTTCAACACAACAGTTGCCTTGTTGTATACTTGCTTTATTGATGTTATCTCCTTTAGTTCTTCTGCTCCTTCTTTGATAAACATCCCAGCTTCTTCAAAAAGGACACTGCTGAGCTTCTCTAGGTTGTCCAGAAAAGATAGAATCCTGCTGTGGGTTCCGATAACTCCATCTACTCGAATTGGACTTGCTGAATGTTTTTCATGAACAAAATGTTCAACAACTTTTTCAACTACTTTGATTTTCAATTGTAGAGTTCCTTCTTCTTCTTCCGTGCTGGTAGATGGCTTTCTTGTAAATGATATGCCATACTCTTCAAAATGTTGACATAAGAACGTCATTCCTACGAATACTTCTACGTACTCCGGCATTTTCTTACCCACGAGTACTTCAGGCACCCAAATGCATGATGGGTAAATTACATGAGAAAACCGCTGTCCACATTCAATCAAACATCGATGAAAATTGCAATTCCACGAAGAAATAACTATTTCTGAATCAATAATACTTCCAATTTTATATTTATTTATTTTCTTTTTGATTATGAAATCGTCGCGGAATTCATTGCACAAATACAGTAGATATTTTTGGCCTGCCATTTTCTTTTGCTTCTGGCAGTCCATTAATTTTTTTGGCCTGACAAGTACTAAACTTGGACCGTCATTTGGCAAGTGGCAGGCCGCTATTTCGAGCCCTGAAAAATGTTCACATCATGTGTGCACGATAAAACATACATGAATGCTGGGTTTTCCCCTGTAGCATTGTGGTCATTTGACAGGATACTGCTTGAACACTGAACTTTTGTTAAAGAAAATTATCATTGTAATGTACTCCATCTTTAGTTAGAAACATTAACTAAGGAGAATTTCTATGAAAGACTTACATGTAATGGGTCACAATCCCTAGCAAGCTAGTATTGATTATTGCAGGATTCATTTTTTTCAGTTTGCAGTTTTAAATGTGTACATACTACATGAACTATTATGACAATGATGTTTGGTAAGTCTTACCAAGAAGAAAGCTTTCAATTCAAAGACATTGTAAAGATATGTATAATGTGGAAAATATTATAAAAGATTACACAATTTGAGTTTTAGTATACAATGAACAACAAGTATATTTGAACAACAACTTTATAAAGTTCATTAAATTGGTCATTGTCAGAGCTATTTGCCTGTTCCTCACAGTCTGAATTAACCCACATGGTATCCACGGTTCTGCAACATTTATCTTTGATTGCGTTGTCACTGTGGCTATTAGTTTTAGTATCAGTGCAAGAATCTTGCAATTTCAACTCTCAGCACACTTATCACAAMAGTTATGCTTAACTTATATAGACAGTGGCTTTTCTTTGAAATAATCCGCAATGATTTCCCTTCTGCATCTTTCATCATTCTTAACAAATGTTCTCATATCATTGTCACAATGAGCTAAATGATATGGGCAGTAAAACAAAAATGCTGCACTTTGCTCACCATCGCAACCACTTCGTCCTATTTCTTGCACATATTGTTCAAGATCACGGGGTATACCATAATGTATTATTCTCCTGACATCTTGCACATTTACCCCCATTCCAAGTGCACTTGTTGCGAAAACAGCCCTTATTTGACTATCCAGTTCCATAAATTCGTTAAGTACTGTACATGCTTTTGAACATCATCTGGTGTTGCTGTGGTACATGGCAAAATGTTTAACATCAGAGGTAATCTCCTCATCAAACAATAAATACAATTCTCCACAATCAGGTATGGTTTGACAGTATACAATTGTCTTTTCAGTCTGATCCTTTTGAGAGTTCAGCTCCTCCAATAACCACTTGAAGGTCTCATCCAGGTCTTTCTCTGCTTTACGGATTGTGATCTTAATGTTGGCTTTCTCAGGGGAGAGTTTAATGATCTTTACATTTTTCATATGCAATAACTTGACAATTTTCTTCCTGACTGCCACACTAGCAGTGGCAGTCAAGCACAATAAGGGAGCTTTAGTGAATGCTCTTATATTTCCCACTCAAACATATGACTGGCGGAATATTTTTCCACTTGAACTCTGCAGACCCCTGAAATAAATAATCGTCAGGGTTAAGTAGTGACAAAAACGTCTGCTTGCAAGGTATCACATATTTGGTTGAACAACTAGGAAAGGCTGAAGCACTGCATTTGCGACTATGGCTGTATTAAAAAAAAAAAAAAAAAAAAGATGGATAATTCAAAAGTAATGAAAGATTATAATTGCTTAACCATTTACGATACAATGCAATTCATCAATGGCGATGCCCACTAAATGATCACTAATCATTTGGATGAATTTTCTTCCTGCGACGCTTTCGATGACTTCAGGGCTCGTGTATAAAATGCTTGATTTTGAGACTTGGTCAAAATTTTTGAGGCTGTCACCGTCTAGTTTACATGCACTTATCCCCGTCTGAGAACACAACTGTATTTGGTCTTGTATTAATGCATTGAGAGGAGAAACAACGACGATAACTGGCTCTTGTTCTTTTTCAATCTCACGAGAGACGCCAATCGCAATCTGGTAGATCAGCGATTTTCCGTAACCTGTCGGAAGAATGACGAACGTATCTCTCTTATTTAAAAACGGTAGTAAGGCTTTAAACTGATACTTAGTTAAATTTGAAATATCTGTTTGTAGCTTCGAAAGAGCATCTTTAACATGARCTTCGAGATCTTTTGTTGACAAGTTCGCCATTTTGTCAATAGTGGGCTCAAATGATCCAGCAGTAACATGACAAGCGCACTAGGGAATCAAACCGGTTTTTACCGGTTTAGCAGTTTGATCATGTGGCTTTTTCTCCAAAATCTTGGAGCAACGGCAACTTCATAAGAATGAGGAGGTTCGCTGCAGAGGTATTTTTTCTCCCCGACAACCAGCTCCAAGGAGGGTCAGAAAAAAAAACCTCTGCTCGCAGGGTAAAATTAATCCCAAATTGAACGAGAAAACCGTGTGATTACTCATTAGTAATATGCATGAAAAAATTACAAAAGGAAGTGACGAAATATGTAAATGACAGATGGATACGCAAATTAATCAACCCATAATATTTTATGAAATTTGTTAACTGATTCAAAGTGAACTTGGTTTCAAATAATTAAGCTTTACAGTTCATTCAAAGATTTTTTTTATCGATTAATAAGCTAAATGTTTTTCTTGARAAATAAATTACTGTAAAAGTCAATCGGAATCACTGTCAATTATGCAGAATCGTCGTTTTCTAGGCTTGACGTCTGGATTGCTGGAGAATTCTTTGAAAAATTGAATGACACTTGACAGTTGTTAAAGGTGTTGAGAAATCTTTGCTCATGGGATCCCATCGTTGGATTAACTGACATTGCTGAACCATGGCCCTGTATTACTGAGTTAGGCACAAGATGGTTTGGAGCTTCAGAGACAAGCGACTGTTGTAGCCGAATTTGGTTTGGGTTCACCAGGGATGTATTCATGCAGCTGCCATATGTTAGGTTATTTCTCTTTGAGATGGCTAGAGATAACTGTCGCTGCTTGTCTTCATTTGCCTCATCGTAATCATCTAGCGATTTCCTGTGTCTATGTCCGGTGACTTTTACGATGCCAGATCTCTCAACATTTGCTTTGGTAAGCTTACTCGCAACAGTTTTTAGGGCACTATGGTTGGTGAACTTTTTATCTCTCTTTTCAAGGCTGGTGTTGGCAATGATATTCTTCATCATTTCWTTTATTTTGTTTACCCCCATTGGCTGCACTTTAAACCAGATGTTGTCATCTGCTCTTAATTGACAATAGAGACCTTTAGATTCAAGACGAGGACAAAGACAGAGTTTGGCCGCGTGAGGTCTGGTGCATTGTCTTCGTCCTTATCTTTGTGTTGACGAAAAATATGATTTAGATTGATTTCAACGTTTCAACTATTGGAATAAGGAGCATGTTCAGCGAAAAATCAATCTTTTAGGCCTCAGTTTTATTTTTTTTGGGAAGATATTTTGGATGAGTGGGATATGTTAGCTGTTTATGAAACGTTTAGACGGAAAAATCCAAGTTTACCGTACTGGAACTATCCACATTTCGATATAAACAACTTGTCGGAGGATGAATGGAAGTCCGAATTGAGATTTGGTAAAGGAGAAATCCCTGTACTTGCCGAGGTTTTAAAGATTCCTGAGACATTTACATATGCTAATGGAGTGTGGCAAAAGGCACTGAAGCGTTATGCATGCTACTAAAAAGATTCGCTTTTACCTGTTGACTATCAGACATGATTCCCCGCTTTGGTCGATCCGTACCGGAAATGAGCCTGATTCTCTCTGAAATTTGTAATTTTATTTACGACAACCATGGTCATCTTTAAACCGATCTTAATCAGCCATAGCTTGATCCACAATGCATCGAGGAGTTTGCAGAAGCTATCCATAGAAAAGGAGTGGTTTTAGACAACTGCAGGGCTTCATCGATGGCACTGTAAGACCACTGTGCAGACCAGGTGAAAACCAGCGTATGTTGTACAATGGCCACAAAAGAATCCATGCCATCAAATTCCAGTCTGTTGTGGCTCCAAATGGACTTATTGCAAACCTGTATGGACCRGTGCGTAAGTACAGAAAAAGTAAATTTGTAAATAGAAAAATATAGACCTTTCATGCATAGAATTTTTATAGCATATCAATATTTACATAACCAATGATTAAGTTTCATTTAAGATCATAATAATTATATTTAAAGGAATTAAATTGATAAGAATTGTGATATCAGAATGTGTTTTTTTCACATTTCTTAATTTGTAGTATATTTTCATCATTTGCAAATGTGGCTGTTTTATTGTAAATAGATTTGAACAATAATTGCCAGATTTCACAATTTTATGATAGAGGGCATGCACTAAATCCGTAAACAATAATTAGTACTACTTTTATTGTGGTACTCACTTATGGGCAGGCTTATTAAGACTTAATAATATATGGACATTCCTAAACCTTTACCTAATACACTTTTTGATGTTGTTTATAGAAAACGCTAAACATCTATAAAATATTTCATAACTGTATTGGATTGAATGTGTATGTATGAGAATCGAAAGTGTATATAGGTGGATCGAAAGTGTATATAGGTGGTTCGAAAAGACCTGGATCGAAAAGACTTTGGTTCAAAAAGACCGGTATTCTGTTTATAGAAGGAAAACGACATGACTCTGGGATGATGAGAATGTCCAATCTATTAGCTAAACTCCAGCAGCATGCATACTCAACAAATGGTTAGCCACTTTGTAYATATAGTGATCCTGCTTATCCAGTTCGACTACATCTCCAGTCTCCCTTTCGTGTGTGGGCAACTATCTCAGGCTGAAACAGCATTTAATTCCTCCATGAGTTCMGTGAGAATAGCTGTAGAGTGGGTTTTTAATGATATTATTTCATACTTTGCATTTCTTGATTTCAATAAGAACTTAAAGATAGGACTTAACCCGGTAGTGAAGATGTATTGTGTTTGTGCTTTGTTGAGAAATGCACTCACATGCTTGTATGGTTCATCAACATCATAATTTTTTGAAGTTCAACCATCTAGCATTTATGAATATTTTCAAGCATGAATTGATTCATATATTACATTCATATGTACATATTGATCATTTGAAACACCTTTATTTGGTAAAAAGGGCCCTAACAAAAACCAAAAACTAACAAAAATATAATATATTATTTTGTAATCCAAATATACTATTTTGTAATCCACTTTACATGAAAACTTGCCGTGTGAAATATATATAAAAGCTATTGATAAATAATTCAGTGTGCATGTGACGTTCCCAGAGACAGTCGACGCCCAGAAACGATAGTGACAACCAGTTTAGAACAATGCATTATTTATTAATGACGATTATACGAAACGGTGAAAACTATAATAATATAGGGCTGAAAGTTACTAATTGGAATTACACAAGACTAAATTAACATGGAAAATATAAGAAAAGGAATAGATAAGTAGGAATAGATAACTTACGTCTGGTCCTGGATTCTAGTACGTAGTATTTCTGAATAAATTTGCCGTGAATTGTGGCGATAAAAGTGCTGAAGACTAACAACATGTGCTAAGGGACGCTAAAGACTCAAATTACAGGAGATGACTAACTAATTAACTATTAACTACGAGCTGAATAAAATACAAGTGAAAGGAGAATATGCAAATATGTAATATATGTGTATAAGAAACGTAACGTGACAGTGCATATCAATACATATATACAGCTGTATGGCTTAGTACAGTAACAAAAGTCAGAATTGTATACAAAATGTATACAAAGAAGGAAATTCAACAATATTAGCTATGTAGAACAAACAATATAACTGTGTGACATCATTACCGGTATCATACAAGATTGCACGAATGTGTTCAATATTCTCTAATACATAGTTATTCTATATAGGGTGTGACGTAATGTCACGCCATGAACAGTAACATAATATAACATCTCCCCTTTAAAGGTTTCAAAGTCATGCAAAATAATATGTCCAAATACTGAATTTTTGTGTATTTAAATGTTTGAGCTATTTGCTCACAAAGTCCTTCATCCATGCTGGGGGCTTCGCCGCTCGACGTGGCTGTACTGGCGTGGCGTCGGGGACTGCAATGTCAGGTGTTTCTTGTGCTCGTGGTGTTCCTGGTAACTCTGGCTTGCTCGGTGTCACTGGTAACTCTGGCACTGCTGGAAGTGTCGTCGTCTTTGGCGTCTCTGGTAACTGTGCTGGTTCTTTGGTCTTCTTTATTTGTTCCCTGTTCCTGCGGTACTCTGCTCCATCTTCCGTTTCCACCGTGTAAGACCGTTGATCCAGCCTGGCTTTGGCGCTTACCCAAGGGGTTGGCTCTTCCACTGGGGCTAGGACTCCTAGGTTCACATACTTGTCTAGTTCATCTCTCAGCTTCTCTTTAAGTGCTGCCGGTCCTCTGCGGGTGGGGGTTATGACAGGGGTGGCGTCATCTTTGGTTGTTAGATGGACTAAACCAGTTAGAGTTCCCAATTTGCGGTTGAAAACGTCGCTGTACTCTTTAACGATGGCTTCTGCAGTGTTCACCTGACTGATCTTCTGATTGTCTCTGATAGGAGCCGCTGTTGTATTGAAATGCTCGTGATTTACTGTGATGATCTTCATCTGCTGGATCGCTCTAGCCCCGAGAAGAGGGGTAAATCCCTCGTCAACCACAATGAACTCGACTGAATACCTTTTTTTTTTAAGCTCGCGTTATCCCTATAGGTCGAACTTGGGTACCATTCCACATCTTCRACGTTTTGTTGGTGGGGCGAATTTCTTGACTGCGCACGTATTTTCTGGGCAAAATGTTTACCAATGCTCCACAGTCTATTTGGAACTGTATTTTTTCTCCGTCAATCAGCATCTCTGCGTATGTCTCCTTGGCGTACGTCGGTTCTGAAATCTGAGCTACGAGTTCTTCTTCCATGCAGATGCTTGTGACGAATTCTTCGTCTTCAGAATCGGTTTGATCTTGCACACTGTTTGTGTTTTGTTTCTGTCGGCATACGATAGCAAATGGTTCTTGATCCCACAGTTCTGGCACTGCTTGCCCCATGCTGGACAGCGTTCTCTCGATCTTTCGTGTTGTTTTCCGCAATATATACATGCTCTCTTTGAATTTTTTGATCTGGCATTCCAATCATTCCTTTGTTTCCGCTCGTATGTGTGCTTCTGACTATGTTTGGCAGATTG